CAGGTTAATACGCTTCGTTTAAATTTGCAAACATTTTGGAATTTTCGGTACAGGATTAGTCTATGAAAATAACGTTTTCAAAGCAATTTGTCAACTATTATCATTTAGCAATTGTAGAAGTAAACGTAGCAACTCTATATTGTGGTTCTCATGTTGATTGAATTCCATGTTTTTCTGGACAAATCAAACCAGATATGTAGAAATTACTACTTACGTTTCGGCCACTACGGTTCTTTCTGTCATTTTGTTCTAAACTTTGAAAAAGTTTAGCGTATTGATCGAAACGTCACCAAAAGGTAATTTCTACATGTGGTATGTGGTTTCATTTTGACGGAAAATCTGGAGTTAATAAATTGTTTAACTATTTCCTACCGACTTCATATTGTTATCATTTCGCACGACTTCTATGACAAAGTCTAATATCCTTTGCCTTGAGTGTCATATAATAGAATTATCGGACAACCTTGGTAAATAAGCCGTCTCCTGATAAATGGTAGTAACCTTTGGTACGCACGCATACAATACCAAAATTATATGCTTTCTCCTGAGATTTTATTAAGGAAGGCTTCAGATTTCTCTCAACGCAGTGCTGTAATCTCTCAACCGCTTGAATGAAAATAAAAAATTTGCCTGTGTTTGTTAAAGTGCAGAATATACAATTACAGTGGTTTGAAACTATTATTGTCCTTTCAGGAGTAATTTCATACCTCAAAATAATAGGACTGCGAACAAATGCAAACATTGATTAACGTATTCTACATATGTAGATAGCCAACTTAATGCTGTGTTAGAGTGTCCAAGAAAATTATCCGAGCGAAATGATGTCTTTTGTGACAGCTATTTTATAATCCGCAAAATACGCGAATAGTTCAAGTTATTGGAAATACCAACAATAAATAGACGCAGATCTCATCTAGCACGTATTCAGCGTGCCAAGAACTCTCACCCTTCTATATATCTAGCCACTTGACATAATATAAATATAAGAGTAATCAACTGCACGGGCATTATGTAAAAAACCTATAAAACGAAAAAAAAACTATCTATCAAATGTCATCTTGCAGACTAGGTAGTTTTTGGAGTGCAGTCATTCCACGTTTGCTCACGAGGATCGTTGTGAGCGTCCATCTATAGAGGAATGATTCAACCACAAGCATTGTTGGTTGCATGTTTTGTGAAGTCGAGTAGTCTGTAGTTTCCATCTCTGAGACGATGTGAAACAAAGAAAGTTGGTTTAATAGCAAGATCGCATCTGGATGATTATGTGTATTGGTCTGCATGTATATAAAACCACTGGTATTTGCTGTGTGAGAAAATTATTACCGTATGCTGACAATGAAGTATACCTATTAGCTGTACCCGACAGGTTATTTATATAATCTATTTCACGAGTATCCATCACGCTTTGATGTCTACTGAGATACTGTTACTCTGCAACGTTGGCAATAATGGATCGGATATAAAACTAGTAAAGCTTGTTTGTCTTTTATATGCAAATTAACTTTTTTAAGTTAAAGAGCTATTAGCAAGTACAAAATGAATCTGTAGCGTACAAAAAGCCAAAACAAAATTCGGCTCTGTCTACCTGGCGTTGACGGTTCCGTCAGAGTCATGTGCCGATATGGGGAATTTTAAGATATTACTAGGTAATCAGTTGTCATTCTACCGTGATGCATACTCGTGGAATAGGGAATATGTTGTCCTTTCTGAGGGCAGGTCATAACCTGTTCAGTTGTTATAAATTACGATTTTTCCCGTTTTTTGTGTTTTCAAAAAATTTGTGGAGCACTACAAGAAGTCACTATCATCAACACATATTATTACCACACAAATCCTCATAGTACACATATGCATTGTCGTTTCCTTCTAGCTATGGTATACAACTTACAGCTTAGACCTCCAGTAATGCCATCTCTGAAGCAGATTTTACATCACATCAGAGCCAAACATTGATAACTAAAGCATCACGACATTTAAGCAACACGTACAACAAAACTAGTTCACAACAAGTGTCTATCAGCTAGTGCTAAGTTATCATCTTGTAAAAAAGCCTACAAAATGTCACAAAAAACCAATACAATGTCTTAAAAAAAATCGACATAATGTCGATTTTCAAAATACATAGTACCCGTGCTGATCATCATTAGATAACACCTAGGTTTCTCCTCTCGACAATAATAAGAAATCTACTTTGAAAAGATCAGTGTCTCATAGATGGCGCTGTAGCCAACTTATATATGAGCATATAACATGGCTATCACAAATTCTCATAGATGACGCCGTGGTATCCCATTTCGTCTTAGAATTTCTTTGGAAGCTGAAACACACTACATGGCTCGCTATCTTCAGGTGGAATACGTTTATCAATTGATAGTCCTAACAAAGGAATCTCGGACTCCGCAAAATCTGAACAAATGCAGATAGTTTTCATCTTTAGAGCTCGATAGCATTGATTGAAATGTCTACTGACGACCTTGATTCTGTTAATATCATCAGGCTAACAGAAGGGAGAAATGGTTGAGACAGTCAATTCGACCTTTCTACGCAATCACCTCTTGCTGGCTCTATGTCCCTCGCGTCAAAAATATAATCGTCAAATTCTATAGATGACGTTTCTTTATTTTTTTTTATACTTCAACTACCACGAAGGCCTAAGGCCTAAGCACCCATTGGGTACCGTGGGGCTATAGGGGGATACATGGGAAAGGGGGAACGCCACTCGGACTCTGGCGAGGGAACACGTGTGCATGCAACATGCATACATTCTGGCTCCGCCTACGAGATCCGCCGGGTGGTACCTCCGCGTTCGACAGTCAGAGACCGTCTACCACCTACGGACAATCACAACATCCATAGCCAAGAGAAAAATTTGTCCTGGGACGGGACTCGAACAGCGCACGGCGACTGATCAGGAGACCGAAGTGTCTACTACTGCGGCCACCGCTGCTGCCTAGGATCTGAGAATCATAACTTGTTTTAAAACTGACGAAAAATTCAACTTCTGCATGTTCTGCGTTCCTGCTGATTTTTAGCCTTACACCTCCCGCCTCCTTGAGCCTATCGTTAAAAACTGTAGAACCGCGAAGCTCAAAATAGTCGTCGAGCTTTTCACACAAAATGACCTCATGCCGCTTCTTTGCTCCTGGTACAGAATATTGAATAATAAAAAGCGCATATCACACGAGACGTGATCGCCAAATTCGATACATGAGGGCCTCCTCATTAGGATCTCAGAAACATAAGGAATTATGAATAGGGTCGTCTGAAACTGTATAGGAGCCCCTTGACACACATGAAGCTTGAGGCATGCAGCAGAAGAGGCCCAGGTCAGAGCAAAATCCGTGGAACTATTTTGCCAATGGGAAAAATTGAAAAGCAAGAGATGCATACTTAGATATTTATTTTAAACCTCGTTTAATTGTTGGGCATTTCGGGCCCCCTTCTAGCCAACGCCATGGGCACGTTCCCGTGTGTCGGTAGGGTATAAATACAAAATAGAGGTATGAAACCCTTGCTTTGAAATTGACGGAACATGCAACCTCTTCGCGAAATAAGTAATAACTAAGGCTCTGCGTTCCTGGTGAATTTTAGACCAAACTTCCACCCCCCTTGCGTTTATCGTTAAATCTGTAGAAACGTTTGTTACCAGCCATCATGCGCCGCGAGGTCTAAAAGAGGCATTTCGAGCTTTTCACACAATTACCTCTCGCTGGTTCTGTATTCCTGATACAAAATGTTTAGCTGACGCAACATGCATTAGATGAAATTTCGTTTGTAAATTCTATGAGTAAAACAGGCTTGATGTGTGGATCGCAAAATCACAATGAGATATAGAAAAATACTTTATAATTGGTAGGAAATTATCTTACAACTACCTGCTGCTACAGGCTTCCCGTTCCTGTTAAAAAATATTGGGATCTTTAAGCAGGTCTCTGTTTTACTGATACAGAACTTTTAGCTGACACAAATCGCATATTAGACGAGATACGGAGGGAAATCCAGCGGTGCTAAGATGAAATTTCGTTTGTATCATTATTTCTATAAGTGAAGTAGTTTGCTACCAGGATCCCAGGAACACAAGGAGCTATAAAAAAGCAAGTTACCTTGACTTAAAAACTGGCGGGAAATTCAAGTTTTCTCCACTCAACTACGTTCTGCAGGATATGCGCTCCTGATAAAGAACATTTGGAAGAAACACATTGGACCAAGACTCCACTTGTGTTAAGAGTCGAATTCGGTAGACAAGTTTGTTACCAGAGCACAGAATCGAGAATCAGTTTAAAAAGTAATTTGCCTTGCTTGAAAATTGACCGGAAATCCAAGCTTTTGCACAACTACCTTTTGATGGCTTTATGATCCTGATACAAAATAATGGGTGGCACACATCGGGTAAGATTTAGCAGAAATGCAGAAAAGCATCAAATATTAGTTTTCGCAGAGTGTAGGTTTCCTATACCAGGAAAGCAGCAACTCAATGAGGTATCAAAAAGTAATTTACATTTCCTAAAATTTGCCGGACAGATCAATCATAACCTCTTGCTGGTTATGTGCCCTTGATACATAGGTGTTAGCTAATGAATAAATAGCGGACATTGGATGAAATTTTCCTTAGATAAAAGTCAAAAAAAAACTAAACGTCATTGTACCAGAAAGGTGACTAGGTATGAAGCTGGGAGGAAATTAAGAAGTTGTTCAAAAACACATCACGCTGAATTTAGGTTTTTATGGAATTCTTATTCTAAGTATCTACCTGTATAGGTGCGAGAAACCATTTTGGTATCGCTATTGTTTGGGCGGGAAATTCAACCTTATCGCATCATTACTCCAAAATGCTGCTGCGATCCTGGTATGAAATTTCTGACTGTTCTTCATACTTGAGTGAAGAAGTGTGCAATCCAAGTATGTTATAGGATATTTTAGGTAAGCTTTTTTGATAGAATAGTCTAGTGCCTCTCGGCGTAAGGATGTTTTGTGCAGGGCAATCAATAAAACTAAGGAGGTGTTGACATACTTATTTTATTTCCAGAAATGTAGGAATCTTCACATTTATATAATAACGAAATACTTTGAAAATACAGTAAAAAAGTAATGCTATCTTAATATAACCTTCAAATATAGATACAAAAAACTGGCTATTTTAATCATCGATAATGCAAAGATCGTCATCTTCATCTTTAGGGTTGATTTTCCTTTTCTTACTAGAAGATCCCTCCTGGGGATCATCTTCTATATCACCATCTTGATGACGGTCAACGATCATCACATCATCTTCATTACTCTCTTGCTCTTGCTTCTTTTCCTCAGTAGCTGTCCCATTTCCTACACAAAAAACAAACCTAAGACATCGCATTTTGATAGATGCAAAATTCATTGTAAGTTCATAATGTTTAGGTAGCCCACGCGCCACCTACGGACGAATGGCGCAACGACTATTTTAATGTTATTTGTCTATAAAACTGCAATCCACTTTTGGCTGGGCTGCTTTGTCGGTTGCATGCTCTTTTGATGATAAAGAGCGGGGAAGGGTTTAAGCGCCACCATGCGGACTAGTAGAAAGCGAATTCCAAAATGCATTTCTTATGCTCTAGGATGCAAAGCACAAAATAATTATCGTTGGTCCTTTCACAACACCCCAAAAACGGACCAAGGGCGACGGAAATCAAATTGCTTATATTGCTTTCATCTTTGAGCGATCGTAAATCCTGGAATTTGAAGGCTATTATGTAGAAAAAAGTTCGACATGACCCATTATATTGAATATACTAAGAGTTAAATGTTTTTGTCCTTCTAAAGTATGTTTGTGGCTATCCAACTCATGCATCTATCATCTCTGAGGTACACGTAGGCTTTAGTTATTTTGCCGTATTTACGGTGATCTAGTGAAATTGCCCTGGTATATCGTTTTCTTTAAAGCCTGATCACTATCTGTCTGCCAAATTAACTACATATTTGAAACTTATGAGGAACTACATATCTAAAACATGGAACAAGGTTTCACAGAAGTCGATATACTGAAGCAATTTCTTTAGCTCATAGCAAATGAGGCAGCACAACAACTGAAGGCCACTTTGCCTCAAAGATGGCAAACGCAGGAGCTAAAAATTAAATGCGTCATTTTCAACTAGAAGGATCAAATTGAGTAAATTTTTTACTGACTATTTGTAAGGAACTAAACACTCTCATGCTGATGTTAAAAACTATTTTGCAAAGCTGAGAATATGGACAAGTTTTTCTGGTAATTTGTGCACACCGTACTAAAAAATTGTTTTGGTCTAGACAAAACCTTGTTCTAAGGAAAACTGAAAACGAAAACTACGGAAATCAATTATTGCAATTTGCCCCATATCTCGCATAGTTTTTTATTATTTAGATCAAAATGTTCATTTTCGGGTTATTGTTTAAAAATTACAAGTATTGAAAATTTTCGAACTATTGATTTCGAAATTTGTTGCAGTTTTTAGGTCCCCTATCACATCCTGGAAGGAATATGGCGAATTAGCAGTAACCCTATATAATTTCCATAATAAATCGTACAGTATGCAATATTTACGTATTTCTAGTAATAAATAAATATAAGGAAAAAAAGAAAAATAAACCGTTTTTTGTGTACTAAAATATCTTATTTTACGCTTACTAAGCGCGATTGATGTTTTTGCCCAAAGGGCCCCATGAGACCTAGCTACACTACTGGTTAGTATGTGGTAATATGGCTTTTTTAAAAACAAAATAGATTGAAAAGTAATACAATTTTTAGTACAAAAAAAAATTCTGATTTTTTAGCTAATGTTAAAAAATACAACATAAAACTTACCATTTGTCATTTCTTTAGCTTTGAGATCTTCTGGGTTTGCCACCACTTTGAATAGAGGATCTTCTTTCTCCTTAGCTTCGTAATGATTCACGTGAACCGTCAGTTCGTAATTTTGTAAGAAATCATCGCATTTCAAAATACTTCCATCTACGATGCCAATTTCTTTCAGTTTCTTATTATCGTTTGCCTGAAACAAATTTATGAAATTATATCAATAGAACTTTAGTTGTCAGTTAAAGATTTTCCTTTTTCCACTTTCAGCACATTTCACTGTGTCTCACCTCTCTGCTGAGCACAAAGTCCAGTAGAGGGAAATCCAGCACTGCTAAGAAACAGAAATTAAAATTTACCTCGGTTTCCCCTTCTTCCGATGAAATAACCACAATCCCCTTTCCATCCAGGACAGCATCTGGTGCCACCATGTTCAAATGCTTCTTCAGCACCTCATTTTCGAGTTCTTTGACACTCATCTGCTCAGTGTTCACGAAGATGTTCACGAACGGCTTTGGACTGCACACGTAGCACACTGGGTTGGCCTTTGTGATCTGTTTGTCCGCTGCCAGGATGAATTTGGAGTGGATAGATTTAGCTCTGAGGTAGATGGACGGGCACCGGTCGTACTCGCCAGCAAGTACTCGAAAGGCGTACAGTACTACCAGGCCAGCAATCATTGCATTGGCTGTGGCGATTGCTGGGATTATATTTCCAGCGATTGCTGGAAACAGAAAAAAAAGTGCTCTCAAAATAGGGACTTTACACAACAGATAGATTTGCAACTACAAAATTTTTTTGGTAACATACCATATACACCAAAAATAGTAATATAGATTTCGTCCGTCCGACCACAGACGGCCGACCATGGACAGCTGAATCGTTCTTTTAATCAACTCATCAGCATGGTCTAGGCTTGGTCTCAGGTAGGACAATGAACGAAGACTGAGCAACTATCCTCTATCCAGGATACAGGTCTAGCGCAGCCTTTTTGCCTTTTAACGGTAAATGTACGGGGACATCTATGATGAGTGAAATATGTCTAATAGGTGCGTAGAATTACTGAGGTTCTCTAGTATAAATATACCAACTTCAAAAAAATGAGATATAAATAAATCCTGTTTCTTCCAGCAAACGAGCGACAAAACGAGGATAAATCAAATCATCCTAAAAAAATGGATGAACACTCTACTTCAGCTACTATAGATACAACCTTTGTGATACACATTAGCACAAAAAAAAGTAATGGAGCCCAAAAAGCGCTATAAGTAAACTTACATTTGATTTCAAATCTTGACTTATTTGGAATAGAGAAGATACTTGCTCTGATATTGGCACAAGCTGTTACAAAGTCCATTCCTGACTTATCATCCTTATCCCAGACAAGGAAATTTTTACCCTGTAATTCCTTCTTCAGTACCGACACTGTTTCTGAGAAAACCTACAAAAGATACGTAATATTTAGAAAAACGGAAAGCATTATGAAAAATTGGCGTAATGAATCTACAGGGTGTCGGCAAAGTTGGGATTTTACTTTTCAGACACAACTTGACATAACAAAGCTAATATGTGGTGAAACATGAGCGAACAAGTAAAAAAAAATAAATGAAAAAATACTCACTGTTCAGTTGAATTGAAATTCAAAGTACGCTCTGTCGTAAAATCCGAGGAGCACATATAACAAAAATAACAAAAAAGAGATCGAAAATATGACGTCGGTGTCACTTTTTCTTGGTGAATGTATTTTATAAGTGCTATTCGAAGTTGTCGCTGTTGGATTCAAAAACACATGTGCGCGCTCGACGTAGCCAAGCATCGGTGCAGGCCTTTTGAAGACACTCACCGTAAGTTAGCATGTCCAGTAGTTCGCTATTGGTGTATCAGTGTGCCATTTTTTATTATTTTTTGAACAGCAATCGGTTACCAATGTAATGGTTTGTTGACTTACACTATCGGCGTCTAGGTTAGGCTGCATACTAGCGTATTTACATCGTATTCGTACGTCGCATAACTGTAGGCTGGCGTTGTGGACGATATCGAGGGATAGGACCGGCTTCGGTTTGGTTCAGGTTTGATTTAGTTTGCAGAGCCCAATATCTCGGTTCTCTTAAGACATTGGTGTATATGCTACTAAGAAAATCCGCTTATTTTACCCCCAACCCCAACTTTGTGGACACCCTGTATAATAATTTGAAAATAATGTAACAATATTTACTTTTGCACATTTGCTGATCGGCCAAACTTTCATTTCAAATGCCTTTATGTCATTTTCATCATCATTCATGGCATCACCTGCATGAAATGTAGCTTCATTCCACGACAATGGAGCTGGTGCCTTACGTGTCTTCCAGAGGTTTTCTGCAAACCACAGAACATACTATCAAACATAAGAAAAAGATGATTCCAAGATAAAATGGAACATACCCATTTTCAACAAATACTCGATATCAGTCTTGAAGAACTTATCAAACAATTGTGGAGGATCATAGTCTATTTCTTGTGCCCACTGATGTGTAGAGGTTCTTTTGATATTGCCTGCTTCAGTTACAGTGTGGTCGTCATCTTCGCCTTTGGCCTCAGGATCTTCTGTATCTGGTGACACATCTTGGTCTGGGTCATCTTCACCAAACAATTGACTAAAATTTGAAAGAATGGAATTGATTTACGACTATAACAATACCGAATTCTGTTCTGTCCAACCTTCCACATGCTAGTTTTTATTTTTGACTATATCTGAAACAGTTATGAAGGAATTGAGTGAAATGGATTAATATTTAGTTAAACTTCAGCCCAGATACTGAGAGAGATCTGTAAGAGGGTAGAGAAAGCTACAACACCACATTTAATGGTTTTCACAAATATTTCTAGACTCTAAATTGACGCGTGATAATGACTATAAAAAGTTTATGATCACTCAAACTGAGGAAGATTGGATACAATATAAGAAATCAAGAAACAAGTGTTTAACAAATCTTAGGAACGAAAAGAAAAAATATTATGAAAACAAAATCGATAGCAATTAAAATAAGAGTAAAATGATGTGGAAGACACTAAAAAATATTGTATCTCCCAGTAGGAAGAATGAATTATCAAGAATGTGTTTTGAAGATGGTATAGTAACAAAAAAATATTGATTGCAGAACGAATGAACGCTTATTTTATAGAAAGTATAAATGAGATAGTGAAATCAATCGAAGATGGGGATCTAAATCTACGTCACATGCAAGTTACTTGTAATTCTTCTATGAGACAATTCCAAACAATAAATATCAGCCATCTTTCAAAAGCTATTACAAGATTGAAATCGAATAGAAATCTTTCTGAACATCTTTCAAAAATGGTTATGAAGGAATGTTTCAACATTATTGGAGAGAAGTTATTATTGTTAGTGAATCATTGTTTAGTGTATGGCGAATTTCCTTCAAAATTAAAATGTTCTACAATTACTCCTGTTCCAAAAGTGCAAAATTCTGAGTTATATACAAACATGCGGCCAATTAACGTACTGCCAGAAGTCTAGAAGCTCTTAGAAGGAATCATATATGAATAAGTCATTGGATATATTGAAGAAAATAAAATATTGACAAAATTTCAAGCAGGATTCAGAAAAAAGTATTCTACTGAAACAGCAATTCAGATGGTAGTAGAAGAATGGAGGTGAAATATGGATGAAAAAAGTTTACAGTAACATTGTTCTTAGATTTCAGTAGATGTCTTATGGGGATTCGGTCTCAAAACTTCCAAAATCCGCCACCAGAGGCGCTGGCGTCGCGCGCCATTGACAGGTTGTTGGACGGAATCTGTAATCGAAATTCATGAGTTGGGGATTCCGCCGCTAGATGGCGCTGTCAAACCAAACGGAATCTGTGTGTCATTGGACACCTGTCATGCGTCATTGGGCATCTCACGCATAGATGGCGTTAAAACGTCATCTGTCATACGTCATTGGACACCTGTCATTGATGGGTTGGGCATCTCGCGCATAGATGGCGCCGATTTGTTTGGCGCTGTACAAACCTAACGGAATCTATGCGTCATTGGACAGCTGCCATTGATGGGTTGGGCATCTCGCGCATAGATGGCGCCGATGTCGCACCTGTCTGGTGTTGGCGTGGATTACGGGGGGCAACGTGTATACAGGGGTGCATCGAAAAATAGCGGATCGATGGACCGACGGTATATCGTTAAATCGTATATAGCAAGGCGTGACCTAAATAGCGTGGTGGGCTCCTCTGGTCGGTCGGTTGGTCGGTCAGAATGTCTCATAACCTGTATACGATGTACTGTTATTATTATACAGGATGATACCGTTCAAAATGAAAATAGTATAGACATTCTGACAATTATTTCGCAAACCAGAGGTATTTTCAATAAAACTACAATAATACGTTTAATATTTTATTGAAAATAGAAAAAACTACATAGGTAATATGATATTTGAAAACCAGTGGCGTAGACGTTCAACATTTCTCTGGGTACAGGAAAATTGTCCGTTGGTGTGGCATGGATTGGAATCAGCAACAAAGTTTCCAGTAGCACACGGTGTACCATCATACTTGCAAACATCAATAATGTTGGGAAAAACACCAAAAATGTGACATTTCTTGAGTAAAAAGTTTGCTTTCTGTTCTCCACGAACGTAGACATAGTCAGCCGCATATATCACCTTATTTTTAATTATTTCATTTAACTTGGAATATTTAACGTCGCCGGAAGAATATTTAAGCCCATGGAAATTCTTCTCCAAGTAAGCGACAGTTTTCTTGTCTTTAGTATTTAATGTAGAAAAAGGTTGCGGAGGTGTAAAGATGTAATGACTTTTCTTGAAACCAATTTCGATACATAGTTCTTTAGGTACGAATAATCCGTCAACTGTAAAGCCTTGAATGTCAACAAACGCGATCCTCATGATGTCTGATGCGGAACTGAGAGTCCTTCGTTGCTTACGAGATGGTTTTAATAACTTCGGTGAGGGGGAAGTACTCGATTAAGCAGTCATGTATAATGATGCAGTAGGCCTTGGTGTTGGTTGGAAAGCCAGTATCGGCTTCGATATCCAATCTAACATCAACAGTTGATGATTTCATGGTTTCCTCTTGTTTGGAACAGTCAATAACAAACAAAGCGCGATTTTTAAAAGCGGTATAATCTAAAAGACATCTCTTCAGAGGAGAAGAAGAAGTTGTATAGCTGGTTTGAAAGTCGCTATAGTTGAAATGAGCTTCAGTAAAGTGATTGTTTGCAAAGTCCAATTGCATACGTTCGTTGGGATAGTATTCACCATTTAAAGATACTCGAATACTAGCAGCATTCACGTGATCAAACAGGGTAGGGTCTGAGGTTGCGACGTCACGTTTACCGGTTTGGAAACATACTATAATGAAACGTGGTCTTTCGATTGCGGTGCTAGTTTTAACTGACCATATTTCTCTTCTCGCATCTGCGGTAATTGCAGGCAGTTCATTCAGATCCCATTTTCTAAACGGTATAAGTATCGGCTTATCAGTTTGAATAGCTTTCAAAAGTTGTTCTTTCACATCATCACTCGGGTAAATATGTTTGATTTTCAGTTCCATGCTTTCAATAGTTATTTTCGCTGTCGTCGTCGTTCCAGTTTTTTCCTTGATAATGATACAATCGTTATCGTTTCTAGCTCTCACAAATCTGAGAGTTTGTCTGCCACACGTAATCATAGGATAATCATTGAAAATGTTGAAAATATGTTTAAGCGGCATTAGCAAGCTAAAAGACTTGTTATGTGTTGACGCCATTATAGGTGTTGAAGGATAGTTCCATCCAGCTATAGCCATATGATTTGAGTCTTCCTCACTGTAACATACGTAAGCTCGGACAGTACTTACAATACCAGGATCACGTACTGTTTCAACTTCTCTAGCGGATTCACTGTAAGTGCAAGAGTCAAATAGGAAGGCACCAAAGTTTGGAGCTAAAGATACATCTCCTGCTCCTCCTCCTCCAGTTATTTCAACTTTTCCTTTGATAGATAGAAGGGAAGCGTTCATTGCAAAGAACGAATCTACTTGATTGATGCTAAATTCCACAACATCATTACAATTAAATGACTTGATGAACGGCGTATAAGATCTATACTCAGCCTTGCGAATAGATTCATCGAATGCTGGAGATCGATATAGATCAAACATCGGAGAAGTATGTGATGCTGCTGCTGCTGCCTCCTCAGTTTTTCTCTTTTTGTACATGATTCTTGTTGTTGTTGACATGATATCCAAGTGAGCGTAGAAACAGGATATTTGATGTAGTTAGTAGTAGATGTCGTCGCTTAGGTGCTTGGGGTAATACTGAAGTTGCCTTGGAAGCACCACTATGTCTTATAATCACTAATCCCATCTGCGCTTCGCTCTCAACTCCAACACAAGAGTACTAGTTTCACCTTGAAAGTTTACAGGACGACCGTCTTGATCTAAAGCCAACACTGTGATGTTGGTTATTTCTTGTTTCGGTATAACAGGTAGATATAGTAAATTTACAGGTGTTTCGACTATAGCGTATCCAGGATCGGCTGTCACAGCAAATTCGTAGATCGTGTGTGCAGGCGTGTCTCCGTCAAAGGCTCCCGACGTAATGTTAGCATCAAAGTGTATGGTTGATACTTTTATTATGTTTACAGGTAAATCAGAAGAATGCTTTTGACCAGGATTAAGAACTTTTTTCGAGAATCCCAATAGATGTCCAAGATTATTCGGTTCTGTAAAAACTATTTTATAATACTTGCTAAAGATTTCACATTGCAGTGTATTATTGTTAGGTTTTAGAGAAAAATAATCATCCGGAGGAGCAACTTCATTTTCAAGATTCATTTGCGTTCGTATAAATGTTTCTATGTCGGTAATTTCATAACAACCTGTCGGAAACTCGATGACTTTTAATTGACCACCACCACCACCTATCCGGTCGATATAATAAAATTTATCTCCTTTTTCAATATTCGGTATGGAATTGTATGAAGTAAAAGACCTAAGCGCCAATTCATAATCTTTTTTCGGATCCAACACTATCGGTGTTGAAGGACGAAATGAAAATATATGAGTAGTGCTATTGACTCTCAACAACTGCGACATGATGAATGAAAAAATATAGCTGTGTACTAAGCATTTATTCAAGTTTTTTTTTTTTGTTTATTTTCGAATGGATAATTTACAGAAATAACAATTTGCTTGAGCAGTAGCCGGTCCATCCCAATGTGTTGTCCAATCAGGTCTGTTGTAGTGAACATAGCATGGAAGTCGTATTTGAAGATCAAAATTGGATGTGTATTCTGCAGGCAGTTTGTGCCATATACTCAATAATTCTGCAGGTCTCACATTGCTTATTAAATATTCCAGCGGCGGAATATTCTTCTCAAACTCTTCTAATGTAAATTCCGATAATGTTTTATTATCCATCGTTGTTGTTGTTATTGTATAGAAATTTCAAACACAATTGTCCGCAATTAACTTGATTATAAGTTTGGTAAGGATCGTTGTTGTAGAAAATTTTAGCGTTTTTCAGATATCGAACAAGTTCCTGTGGAGGCTTCAGGTTACCAAATGAATCGAAATACTCAACGTTGTTGTTTATCTTTTTATAAGCTACCCAATGAGTTCCGTTGTTTTGTGAAATATCTAAGTTCACGACGGCGCATTCTCTTTTACGTGGACCGTCTCGTGGTAAAGTGTCACGCATGAAGACAC